ACCTTCAACGAATCCACAGCAATTCGTAGCCACACATAGAAACCATGCGGCGAACATGCTATATTGAAGGCGTGATTTCAACACGGCCCTCGACGGGTATTTTGCCCCACTACAGTTGTCTTGTACTTGTATACTAACGTTAGTAGTAGTATAGTAACAAGCAAAACATTGACGACAACTTTGTCCGAATGCGAAATGCATCACACCAGATATAGCATTACAGTACTGTACTTGTATGGTACGGTAGTACTAGTCGTTGCAGGCAAACGCTATCACAAGACGGCCAGTGACAGCGTGCGTGACCACGAGAGTTTGAAAAATCCAGTTGTTGGATCCAACTATACCAGAGACGCACACCATCATGGTCCGAATGTGACCCCCTCCCTCCTCTCTCATCTTGTATGAAAAATTTCACCCCAACACCATTGTTCAATTGGCTACGATGGACGTGAAGCGGCCGATTGTGGATTTGGAAGAGCGCGTGTCGTTCGTGCACTCGACGGCGGACAAGGACGTCCAAGGCGAGTACGCGGACGTCAAGACGCCGGGGGATCTCGAAGGGGGTGCCCTAGTCGCCGGGGGGGCGCTGAGCCTCATGTCTCGTGAGGCCATGGGGCTCTTGTCCCAGTACGCCGCCATCGGGGTCGTGCTCAACATGCTCCCGTCGCTCAGCTACCCCCTCTTCACGGCCTACCTCAACATGGAAGGGTACCAAACGTCCTCGTACGGGGTGCTCGTGACCATCGGGTACTCGTACAAGGTGTTCTTTGGCATGTTGTCCGACTGCTTCCCCATCTTTGGCTACCGCCGCAAGCCGTGGATGCTCATCGGGTGGACCACGACGATGATTTGTTTGTCGATTCTGACGTTTTCGAGCTTTGGCACGCCGTTTTGCGACCGCGAAAAGACCAAGTACTGCGGCAAGGCGCTGGAAACGGTCCCGGCCTCGGAGCTCAAGCACTTCAACTTGAGCGCCCCCGACCAAGGCATGTTCTACATCATGGTGTCGATGGTGGCGTCCATCGCGTACATCATCGCCGCGTGCGCGTCGGACGCAATGGTCGTCGAGTACGCCCAGCGCGAGCCCGAGGCCATCCGCGGTCGCGTGCAAACGGCCATCTACGTGGTCCGCACCATCAGCGGCATTGCGTCGTCGGTCACGATCGGGTTCGGTTTGAACGGACCCAACTACGGCGGGTCGTTCGGCTTTGCAATCTCGCCCAATGTTCCGTACGGTATCTGCTTGATTCCGTGCGTGCTGGCCGTGATCGCGACGCTGACGCTGGTCGTGGACAAGAAGACGCCCGGCGTGCCGTTCCGCGAGTGGTGCGCCAACTTTTGGGAGCTGCTGCAGCACCGCGTGATGTGGCAGATCTGTTTGTTCCGTGTGGTCGTGAGTGGTCTGCAGTCGATCGGGGCTACCCCCGGGTCGCTCATCTCGCTGTACTGGGCCAAGGTGGAGCCCATCAACAACGCCGTGATGGACCTCGCGAGCAGCGCCATTTTCATTGCCACGCTCTCGGCCGTGGGCAAGTGGGGCCTCGCTTGGAACTGGCGGGTCATGATTGCATTCGGCACCCTCGGGGTCATGATCATCGACGGCCCCGTGCTGTTCTTGACCATCTGGGACGTCGTGCGCAACCAGTGGTTTTACACGGGCGCGACGCTGGCCGACACGATTCCCGCGGGGGTCCGCTTCATCGTGTCCACGTACTGCGCCGTGGAAGTGGCGGATGTGGGGAACGAAGGCGCCACGTACGGCCTCATCACGACCATTGCCAACCTCATGGGGCCCATCGGGTCGGTCGTGTACAAGTACATTGACTCGTACTTTAAGGTGTTTGCGAATGATATCAAGAGGGATTCGGACGAAGTGCGCTGGGACGTGTCGTACGTGTACTTTATCTCGTACGGGTGCAAGATCATGTCGTTGTTTGGGCTGTTGTTGTTGCCGCCCCAGAAGAAGGAGATGCAAGAACTCAAGCGCAAGGGTGGCAAGAGCAAGGTCGCCGGCGCGTTGATCATCATCGGGTACTTTGTGTGCATTTCGTTCTCCATGACGAGCAGCATCATGGCCATCTACCCATCCACCAAGTGCTACCGCATCGCGGGTGGCAACGGCAAAGTCGACGCCAACGGCAAGTGCTTGAAGAGATAAACTCGTCGGTCGTGTCGTGTACAGTAGTAGTAGGAGTATTGGAATACATATTGCGTCTTGTGGTGTCAATCCTGTGTTGTGTATCCAGCGGAAACCACATGAGCAAAGACGAAGACCCTAACTAGTTCTAGGGATAACTAAATTCAGTACAACAGTCACCACTGGTAGCGCTCATTTCTAGTGGACATATGTACTGTACACTATCCCCTCAGCTCCAGCGAGGCTACCTAGTGCCACCCTGTGATGTCAACACAGTACCACAAACGTGATGTGTATAGTTCACTCGATTTACCGAGTCACTCCAGAGCCAACAAATGATTGCAAATGTTTAAAGTGGTCGTTTGATACAGTAGTTTGTTAACATGACATGACTGCCAGAGAGTCGTTGGTGAAGATGCAGGCCTCGGAGGCGGCGACGATGGCGTCAGCACGACGTTGGCCGTGATGCCCAACTCGATCGAGACACTTTCGTAGCAGGACGCAATGACAGTGGCTATTTCACTGGTCTGACACCACATGTGCGGCACAGACCTGTGATAGGATTGCCGAGGGCACCCCCCGCACTTGACCATCACAAGACCGTGGAGCTTCTTCCTCAACAACTCCTTGGCTTCAGCCAGGCCAAACGTAGCTCCATGTTTGAACGTCATCGCATGTGTGACACTGACCGCCACGCGAGTCCCGCGTATGATGATCTGCATTTCCGTCACGACATCGATGGCACCAAACTGCCAGTTCATGTACTCCATCGATAACGCTTCCGACACTTCGCTCTGACCGCCAGAGTTGGGCTCCCGAAGGACCAACCACTCACAGCAGCTGCATCGAAGAAGCCTTCTGGGCGGAATATCGTACAAACTAGTCACGGTAGAGTTGTTGGCAGCACAACCGCGATTGGCGCTTTCCACGGGTGTGGTTGCATGAGCATGCGGAAGCTATCGACGTCGAACGCTGTGTTGTGTCTCGAGTGGCATGACAAGAGCAAGTTGAGCAATGCCTCAAGTCTCAAACGTTGTTCACGTCACACTACAACTAGCCAATCGACATAGAGAAATAGGAATGTTGGTTTCCACTTAAGTTTCACAGTTTGCGACAACAGACTCATCACAGTATGGGATGACAATACTTGTCTGGCAACACTGCATGTTATCGAATGACCGATCATAAATATGGCGAGGACTCAACAGAGTGCCTCTACACCACCGCGGGGGTCGTGGGGTTTGTTGTCTCCAGAGGCCAGCCCAGCCTAGTTCTGCGCTAAGTCCTGTGACCGACCCACCCCCCACATTTTTGTTGTCGTGTGGGGCGACGTCACATTGTTCTATTCGCGCATCAAAGGCTCGGCTTGTCCATTCCATCTGGCTCCCCCTAACCCTGTCACAGCCAAGATCGTCGTCGGTGAGGAGGCACAAGACAATACACCGCTTCGATCAAACCTAACGGGGTATTGCCTGGACTATATACGAGAGATATCCGTGGCCCGACACTCAAACAGTACGAGGAAAGTTGCCCCCCTTCATAGCCCCAAGTACATTCACTCACACGACGTGACGACGACGAAAATAGCTCAGGGGAACACAGGGGGACACTACATGGGGAATTAGCCATGTACTCTATTGCATGGCCTTGGATGGTAACAAGGCCAAACCCTCTGTAATACATTGTCAGCACATACCCCTTGAAACAATGTAACACTTGTAGTTAACAACAATATTCAACGGCCCGATAATTTCACGCTCCGTTCAAACACTACTACTACCCGGTATGGATTTGTAGCCAGTACAGTAATAGTTCAATCCCATGTTTATGAGTACTACACAGCCAACACCTCCGAATTGAATGCGAAAATTCACCTGTTGGCTAGTACTAGTCAGCAAAACTCCAAGTCGATGGAACACGTTGCTTCTTTTCTTTCAACAGTTAGACTAGAGCGTAAGCAGTACTACGAGCTCGTCCATGTTAGAAGGCCAAGACCTTGCAATGCACATTCAACCAACACGCCAATCAGGTGTTATGCTACTGATAGTCAGAATTAAGCCAACATGACAAGCTTATGACTGGTCGTCGCCTTGCGTAGCGTGCGCTCGTTGCGAATAATCGGTACAAGGACCAATTCTACCGACAGCCCCACAAACCACACGATGGACGTGACGAAGAAGCAGTAGCGATATCCGTACGCTTCCACGAGGTACCCGCCCACGACGGACGTGCCGCAGAAGCAGAACATGGTGAGGCTCTCCAGCGCATTCCACCGACCGCGCCATTCCTTGGCCACATGGTCCATGAGTATCGACGACCGTAGCGGTAGTGAACTGCGCATGATGGATGTCCTACGCCAATATTCCATCGTGATTGAGATGATATATATATATAGTTGCAGAATATATATATATGTACCGAAGGAGGAAGAGGACAATTTCAAACCACATCGACTCGCCGTACGTAAACGCCATCAGGACCGCCGCCGCCATAACACGAGTCGCCACCACAGTTTCAATGTCGCCAATTTTTCTATCATTTGTCAATAGTTCAGTGTATGACGATTTTCCAAATGGACGTAATATATATATATTTGAGTACATGTACGACAATCAATCACACAATCGTACTTGGACACAAGGCGAGCGAGGGGTGTCGTCACGAGCACCAGTATTTGCTGCACTAGCACGAGCAAGTTGATGCTGGACGGCGTGAGGCCGTAGTCGTTTTGAAGGAACAGCGGCAAAAACACAATCGAGAGCCCGCTGCCGTTGAACATGATAAAGTCAGTGCAGAAGAGGATCACTGGAACATGGCGAGGCCCGAGGCACAGAAATGTGTTGACAGTGCTCATGTCCACGTCATCGTTTTCTTCTACAACAGGGAGTGTTTTGGTCAGCAAGTATAGTTTATACAAATATATATACTACGTAGTATATACAGTACGTGATCATCCATGCATATATATATATATTTCATGCACATATATATACTTGATGTATCATGCGTTTATACATACATATATGTATATATCATGCATTTATACATATATATATCATGTATTTATACATATGTATATATATCATGCATTTATACATATATTTATCATTCATTTATACATATATATATCATGCATTTATACATATATATATCATGCATTTATACATATATATATCATGCATTTATACATATATATATCATGTATTTATGCATATATATATATATATATCATGCATTTGTACATATCTATATATTACAAATATACATATCTGCCGTCACAGGAGGATCATCCACGCATGTATTATATGTGTATACTAACGTTAGTATACATTTGTCATATAAACTATCCAAGTCAATTGGAACGACAACTCACCTGACAAAAGACCAGGTGACGACACCACCAGCCGCGTTTTCTCGCCTTGTTCTGACCGATGGCCATCTTGGATTTCTTCGAGTTGGCATAAGTCCCCGTTGTCTTCGACGTATGACAACGCTCGTACTTTCCGAGACGATGGGGTTGTAAGGCCAGTTGTGGGGGAGGACGGTTGATGCGCAGGTTTGATGTTTTCATAGGCCAAGTCGTCGTTGAAAAAGAACAGAGACACAATGCCGGGGGTGCCGATGACTAGCCCCCCGCAGAGCACCCACTGGAGCCCCGAGAGCGACCACGAATCGCCGTAGAAGAGGAAGAAGATCACGCTGGCCAGCGGCCCAACCATCCCGCTCAAGTTCATGAGCATGTACCGAATCGTAAACGGCACCTCGCGCTCACCCTGCGGCACCGAGTCGGCAAAGATGGCTTCCAACGCCGGTCGCTGCAATGCAAAGTACGCGCCCCAACATCCGTACGTCACGTACAGCAACGGCATGTGTCCCTACGACCATCGCATGGCGTTGTCCCATGTCAAATTTGCCATGTGGTTGGGTGATTCAAACGCAACGACGTACCATCAGATACGACGTCATACTCAACACGACACAGCCAAGGCCAAGCACACCCGCGGCTTTCAAGACCGTGTCGCGGCGGAAGCGGTCGCTGGCGTACCCTCCAGGGATGGCCATGAAGAGCCGCACGAGCCCGTTGATGCCCGTGACGAGCCCCACGGGTTCGTTGGATCCCGTCAAGACAAACACGTAGCCCGCGAGCACCTGGTCCAGCAAGATGCTACGGCACGACCAGAAGAACAGCGTGTACACGTACGCAAGCCATACATTGTGCTCGATACGCTGGAAGTACGTGGCCACTTGTGCTACACCAACAACCATGTCGTCCACGGAATATCGAATAATGTGTGCAAAGATCGCTAGTAATCTCCAAAGGGTACAGTTGTACTACGTTCGTGGATAAATAACGTCGAAATCGGAGAAAAACGTGGTTATTCAACTTCCGTTAAACAATCCACGACTAATAAGTACGGTACCATTGGCCCTCTCGATCGGTTTTATAAATAAACGTGAAACACGTAATGTTGTGTTTGATTACGCACAATAACGTTAACATTATGATTGACATGTCCGCACGGCACAATGATGGTCCCTCGATCCAAGAACATTCCAAGGGTAATCACAAAAAAGATTATGGCCAACAGTGGAAGACATCATAACCGTAACCAACACAACAATTGATCCATGCGTCGTGCGCGTTGCTCCAGGAATGAACCTGTGCTCGTTCGATTGTAGCCGCTCTGTCGACGGTAGTGTTCTTTCCGAACTCACACTCTGTCACATCCTTTTCGACTGTGTACAGTACTCGGACGCAAGGATTTCAAGAACAGCGTAAGTATTAATAAGTAGTAAGTACTACACCATTTTACAGTTAAGTTGGACGAATGCCCGATGTATTTGGCCGTGTGCCCGGTATAATTTTCCATGTGCGCCTATTTAATTAGGCACACCGTCATGCCCGATATATTTGGCGGTGTGCGCCCCGCTATACTAATTAGTCGTGTGCTCAAGTACTGTAATTGGCCATCTGCCCGATGAATTGTGTCGTATAAAAATGGAATAAATAACTCAAATAATTATATTTTTTCATGGAGTGCAAATCAGTTTTGGTGGAAACACCTTGTGGCTGAAGTTTGGGCACACAAATTAGCCAATCAATGAAAGGTAATTTTTAACCTAACCGCCCAAAAATATGCAAATGGGTATACAAATACTAAGCTTAAAATGATGCACCTTGAAACTCTTGTTTTACCTGGTAAGCTGTAGTAGACCACTCAACCAATTATTGGGTCACTCACACAGTGCACAGCACATTCGGAATTGACGAAGTGACTTCCGAAATTGTGTCGTATAAAACATTGTGATTGGCTATTTCGTAACTGACGCAGTCATTTCCAATCGCTCCAAGTGGTTTCCATTGTGTGAGGTGATATCGTAAAGCACTGTGGTAAGTGTGAAAGACTTGGTAAGA